TTGGGTGTGTTCGTTGCCGGTGAGGTCTGATGGGTTCTAGGCTCAGAGCGTCTTTAAAAGAACTTCTCGAATGACGTTCTCAGATCCAGTTCGGCAAATTCGTTTCATTTCAGCTGGTGCTTACAGGCGGTGGCGGGTGGGGAGGTGAAAAAGATGCATTCCGTGTCCCTCGCGAGTTTGCACTTAAGAGCGAAAGACACGTGAATCGCGATCCCACATGAAGCAAATTGCGGTAGGTGCTACCGTTGCAATACGGAAAGTAGGAGACGGTTCTTTGGCTGTTTCTTCTTGAAGACCAAGCACCTGCTGGAACATCCCCACCAACAGCAGGGGTCGGCATCCAGTCCAACCCAGCACCCCCGCGCCGTAGTTTCCTCACCCAGCGACCCCTGCTCTGGGCCGTGGTCTGTGCTGCGTGGGGCAAATGGCCGTGAGACACTTAGCACAGCGCCCGGTGCACGGCGGGAGCTCACGGTGGTCTCCACGGTCGTGGGCCTCACCTCCGCCCCTCGCTCCCTCCTTCCAGCAGGACTTCGATTTTGTTCAGTGCGATGGCTGCCGTCATTGCCGTTACTGATTGTTGGAAATGATTCTCGGCAGAGCTCGGCGAGCCTGTGCCAGGCGGCGCGGGAGAAGGCGCGGCCTCCCCGCAGTGCCCGCTGCCCACGGAGCCCGTGGAGATAGAGATCGAGACACCGGAGCAGGCGAGAACGAGAGAGAGAAGGTGAGACTAGGCCCCGGCTTGCGGTCCCGTTCCAGGTCGTGGGTAGGTGGCGGATAGTTACAGACAGGAAGTGAAAACCTCCGAGAGACACACGGGGGCCCGGGGCTGCGCATCACAGTGGTCAGGAACCTCGGGGAGGAGCCCTGGGCTCCCCTTCGGGGACTGGAACGAGAGACCTTCGTGTCCTGGCTGGGGCAGGAGACGGGAAGGGGGACTCCCGCGCGCCAGCGTCTGAGCAGGTCACCCGTGGTCCTCCCTGATCCTCGCAACAGTGTTACGAGCCAGGAGCCAGAGGCTCAGAGAGGCTAAGTAACATTTCAGGGGTCACACAGCCGGTAAGCAGAAAAGCCAAAATGAACGTCTCTCACTGGACTCAGCACTCAGGCCTTTCCCGCACGTCACGCTGCAGGACTTGAGGCAGCGCCGGCCTGGTCGTGAGCCCCCGTCCCACCCGGGACCCCCGGCACCTCCGTGGCCTCGAGAGTTTGGGACCACGGAGTGCGGTGCCTGCTGGGTCACTGGTGGAGGAACCCGCTGTGTCTTGGGCGCGGTACCCGGCACGGCGGAGACGGCAGAAGTCGTTCAGGAAGCACCGAGTGTTGTTGAAGGTTCAGGGGACACAGACGTAGATTTTACACTCGGACGGTGTCATAAACGTGCGCCGATTTAGCACGAAGGTAGCGGTTGCTAAGGGGCGAGTCCGGAGCGGGGAGGCCGGATGGAGACGACTCCCCGGACGCAGCGAGCTTCGAGGCGTGACGTGCTGTGGCCGAGAGCGCGAGACTGTCCCACGCCAGGCTTTGCGGGTGGGCGGGGGCAGGAAGGAGGGAGAGGCTGAAAGCGGCGGGCGTGTGTGACAGCGCGGAGAGCGGGTCCCACGTCGTCACGAGCGGAACGGGCTCACGGGGGACCCGCGGTCTGGCTTCAGTGCCCCCCTCGTTCTCAGACTTTTCGCTGTGCATCGCAGGGAGAAGATAAAGATGGAGTTTGAGACGCACCTGCGGAGGGTGATGAAGCGTTTCAGCAGGGAGGTCCACGAGGACACACACAAGGTGAGCGCGCGCAGCGGCGGGAGCCAGCGTTCCTCTTCGCCAGAAAGAGCTCGGTCCTGTGTCCTGTTCTCTCTCGGCCTGCGTTTGCTCGTCTGCGAGGTGGGGCGGCAGCTGTCCCTGCCCGAGGGTGGTCGTGAGCACTGAGCAGCGTCGTGCGTCAGCTGCCTCGTCACAGAGGCTGAACCGCAGGCACTCACCGTCCGTCCCTTCTCTCGGCCACTGAGTGACGTCGGTTCTGGTCCCAGCCCGTGTCACGGTGGCTTCTGCCCTAGCAGGGTCCCCGGCTTTGTGTCCATAGATGGATTCCCCACAACCGAGGAGTTTCGGTGTCACAGGTGGAACGAGGAGGACTTCAGAATAGGGACACTCAAGACTATGCCCAGAACGACGCAGAGACCGGGCGGGGCCGTGTCTCCGAGGGCGGACGGAGGCGCGTCCGGGGGTGGGTCGCAGGCTGGGCGGAGGCTCTGGCCAGGCCGTGGAGGGGACGGTGGCCCGGCCCGCCCGCCCGCGTGCTGCAGAGCTGTGGGAGGGAGGGATGGAGGGAGGGCGGGCTTCTGTCTCCCTGTGACGGGCAGCGGGCGCCAGAGCGTGCAGGGACGGGGTGGGTGGCAGAGACGCCGTGCGTGCTGCTGTGTCCACATCGAGAGTCGCGGTGATGGCGCGAGCTCAGAGCCGGGACGCCCACCTCCCGGACGCGGGTGGCGCGGTGGGGCAGGCACGGAACGAAATGGCCCCTCACCGCGGGGTGGGGGTGGGGACGGCAGAAAGGGGAGAATCCAGATGGCGCCAAGGACTGACGCTTAGGTGGGGGGAGGCGGGCGGCGGTCGGTGGGAGGAGGAGAAAGGCCCAGAGCAGCCTGTGGAAGGAGGTCGGCGGGTCGGCGAGCGGGGCTGACGTCAGGCAGGACGCAGTCGTGGGGTCCGCGGCAGAGGGTCCCGGCGCAAACGCGCGCGGCGTGGCAAGAGGTCCTGCGAGCCCCGTCCCCCCGGCCTGGTCGCAGCAAACGCCAGACGTTGCCGCGTCTCGTCTGGGAGCCTCCGGCCTGCGTCTCTGAGAGACCACGCGTGTCGTGAAGCATCGCGCTGCGCCGATTTCCCGCAGGGAAGGGGGGGAGGGGCGGGGTGGGCGGTCTGGGGAGAGGCCGATCGACGCCGGATTCTCTCCTCGTTGTCGGTGGGACGGGCGGCAAGCGTTTCCTGCCCGCAAGAGCCCTCGAAGCTGGCGGCAGAGGTGCCGGTTTCCGGCGTCCTCCGCGACCGCTCCCTCCTCCTCTCCCTCGCCAGGTCCACCTCCTGTGCCTGCTGGCCAATGGCTTCCATCGAAACCGCGTCTGCAGCCAGCCGGACCTGCGCGCCATAGGCCTGTCCATCGTCCCGACGCGCTTTACCAGAGTGCCGCCCCGAGACGTGGACGCCGGCTACCTCTCGAACCTGGTGAAGTGGTGAGGCCGCCGCCCGTCCCGCAGGGCGGGAGGTGGCGCCCGCGTTTCTCTGGGGCCGGATCCGGCTGGGTTCCACGCTCCTGCCCCACGGTGGCGGCGGTGGGCGTGGCGGTGGTGCCGGGGAAATGCCAGGCCCGACCCTGCCCTGGACGAGCTCCCAGGCTAGCGGGGACACACACGGTGGGCGGTGCCGGGGTGGCGTGAGGAACGCCCCGGAAGAGGTGTCCGGGATAGCGGGCACGCAGAGCAGGCTGCTCGTCTCGGGGAGGGTGCGGAAGGCTCCCCGGGGAGGGGACGTCCGCGCCGGGTCATCCGCGACGACAGGGAGGACGGGGGCAGGTGGATCCTGCAGGTGACGCCCCCTTTCGATTTTGTTGGCCATGAAAGAACGAAACCCCCTTCGCCCCGACCTCCGACACGCGGATGTGGTTTGTCCCCAGGTTCGCGGGAACGTTCACGGTCAACGCGGACCTCTCGGCCGACGGGCAGGACAGCCTGCAGACCACGCTGGAAACACGCTTTGCCATCTACTCCGCGCGGGACGACGAGGAACTGGTCCACGTACGTGGCTCCTCCGGGAGCGTCGTTTCGTTAGCGCCGTTAGCCAGTGACCCAGCCGCCACGGCCAGACGCCTTGCAGGTGTTCCGTGCGCGTTACCTTGTTAGTCCCCGTGGCGACCTCGACAGGTGCCGAGGGTCACCCAGCTGGTGGGCCGCGGCGCCAGGCTTTGGGTCAGGCTGCGAGGGGCAGGCCGCGCTCTTTCCTCTCTGCACAAAGCGCTGGGTTTCTGGCTGGATGCCCTAGAAACGTCTTCATCGGTTTCTCGAAACCTGCGTCCCGAAGTCCCGCGGAAGTGCGTGTTCAGACAGGATGCCGGACTCGCGGAGGACGTGTTCTCCCCAGGCCGGGGGAGGCTGGGGGCCGCCATGCGGGGAGGGGTCCTGTCTGTGAACGGCGGGCGTGGGGCGCAGTGCTCTGCGCACAGACGGGCCTTTTAAATGCCCCCGACCCCCGCGGGCAAGGCGGCATCCGAGTAAAACACGGTAGAGACGAGACGCGGTTCTGTACGTGGAAGGTTCCAGTTAATTTGCACGCCGGTGCTTGGAGGCCCAGATTCCCTGGCGGTTTGGAGAACGAGACCCGGCCTCACCTCCGTGGAGCCAGCGGCCGGCGTCTTTGGTTCTCCGCTGCTTTGGGCTCTCAGAGGGCCAAGATGTTTGGCGAGGCCGGTAACCGTGTCATAACGACGCCGCACAGGGAGAATCATGTTCTAGAACCGTCCTCCCGGACTCCGTGTGCATCCATTAAGCCCCGCTTGTCACCTGCCCCCGCCCCCGCACCTGGCAACCCCCGTGTGGATTTGCCTGTCCTCATACTTGCCGTGAAAGAAGTCACGCGGCACGGGGCCTTCCGTGTCCGTCTTTCACTGAGCGCGATGTCGCCAGGGCCCATCTGCGCTGTCCCGCGCACCGCTGTTCCATCGCTTTTCATGGCTGGATGGTATTCCATTTCGTGGACACCGCCACGCTTTCTCGATGCGTTCGTGAGCCGTTAGGTTAAGTACCTGTTTCCATTTCCTCTGAGTATTTCCCCGGGATTGAGGTTACTGGGTCACGCAGCGTATTTTTTGTTTAACTTTCTGAGGAGCCACCGACAACTATGACACCTACTTACATGTTCCAGATATTAGTCATCTATCAGATTGTGCTTTGCAAATGTTTTCCCCCGTTCTGTGGGTTATCTTTTTACTTTCTTGATAAAGTCTTTTTTGCACAAAATTTTTAATTCTGACGAAGTCCAAGTTCCCTGTTTTGTTTGTTCTTTGTGCTTTCGGTGTCACGTCTATGAATCCTGCCGAATCCAGGGTCGTCAAGATCGGCCCGTGTTTTATCCTAAGAATTTCATAGTTACAGCTCTTTGATTTCTGTCTTTCATCCTTTGAGAGTTAACGTTTGTGTGTGATACGAGGTACGTTTTCAGCTGCAGTCTTAGGCCTGTGAATATCCCGTTGTCCCAGCACTATTTATTTTGACTATTTGTTTTATTATTCTCATTATCTGTTGAGGACATTGTCTTTTCAACGGGGATCGAACGGTGTTGGTGCTTTTGTAGAAAATCAACTAGCTGTAAATGTGTGGGTTAATTTCTGGCTTCTTTAGTTCTATTCCGTTGGTTTACGTGTCTTCTTTTTTTTAATTTACTTTTTATTTTATGATAATTTGCATTTTTATACATGTCTGTTCTTACGCCAGCACAGCTCTCTGTTCTTCAGCTGTTTGGGCCCCTTGAAATCCCAGATGATTTTTTTTTTGGAGACAGGGTCTCGCTCTGTCGTCCAGGCTGGAATGCAGTGGTGCGATCACAGCTCACTGCAGCCTCCAACTCCCGGGCTCGAGATCCTCCTGCCTCAGCCTTCTGAGTAGCTGGGACTACACGCATGCACTACCATGCCTGGCTAATTTTTTTTCTATATATGTATTTTTAGTTGTTTGGTTAATTTCTTTCTATTTTTAGTAGAGACGGGGTCTCGCTCTTGCTCAGGCTGATCTCGAACTCCTGACCTTGAGCGATCCTCCTGCGTCGGCCTCCCAGAGTGCTAGGATTACAGGCCTTTTGTTTCTTTTTCTTGCCACATTGCTCTGGCTAGGACTTCAAGCGCAGTGTAGCTTAGCAGAGGTGAAAGCAGGCGTCCTCATCTTGTCCCTGACGAGGAGAAAGTTTTCAGTCTTTCGCCATTAAGTGTCGTGCTAGCTGCAGGTTTGCACGGATGCTCCCTGTCATGTTGAGGGACGTTCCCTTATATTCCTAGTTTTCTGAGTGATTTTTTCATGAAAGCATTTTGGATTTTGTCAAATGCTTTTTCCGTGTAAATTAAAATGATCGTGTGGTTTTTTTTTTTTTTCCTTCTTCATTCTATGAATGTGGTATATTATCACATTGATTGATTTTCTTTTGTTGAACCTCCCTTGCATTCCGGGGGTAATAAGTCCCACCTGGTCGTGTTGTATGACCCTTTTAACATGCTGCTGAATTTGGTTTGTAGCATTTTGTTGAGGACTTCTGCATCTATAACAACAAGGGATATGGGCTTGTCGTTTCCTGTGATGTCTTCATCTGGCCTTGGTGTCGGGGTTCGGGTTAGGGTTCGGGTTAGGGTTTAGGGTTCGGGTTAGGGTTTAGGGTTTAGGGTTAGGGTTAGGGGTTAGGGTTGGTTAGGGTTAGGTAGAATGAGTGAGGAGGTTGGGGTTAGGGTTAGGGTTTGGGTTTAGGGTTAGGGGTTAGGGTTAGGGTTATGGTTAGGTAGAATGAGTGAGGAGGTTAGGGTTTGGTTTTAGGTTTAGGGTTAGGGGTTAGGGATTAGGGTTAGGGTTATGGTTAGGATCACGTAGAATGAGTGAGGAAGTTAGGGTTAAGGTTTAGGGTTGGGGTTAGGGTTAGGGTTATGGTTAGGGTTAGGTAGAATGAGTGAGGAGGTTAGGGTTAGGGTTTAGGGTTGGGGTTAGGGTTAGGGTTATGGTTAGGATTAGGTAGAATGAGGAAGTTAGGGTTAGGGTTTAGGGTTGGGGTTAGGGTTAGGGTTAGGGTTATGGTTAGGGTTAGGTAGAATGGTTAGGGTTAGGGGTTAGGGTTAGGGTTATGGTTAGGGTTAGGTAGAATGAGTGAGGAGGTTAGGGGTTAGGTTTAGGGTTTGGGTTTAGGGTTAGGGGTTAGGGTTATGGTTATGGTTAGGGTTAGGTAGAATGAGTGAGGAAGTTAGGGTTAGGGTTTAGGGTTAGGGGTTAGGATTAGGGTTAAGGGTTAGGGTTATGGTTAGGGTTAGGTAGAATGAGTGAGGAGGTTAGGGTTTGGGTTTAGGTTTAGGGTTAGGGGTTAGGGGTTAGGGTTAAGGGAGAATGAATGAGGAAGTGTTCCCTCTTCTTCTGTTGTCTAGAAGAGTTTGAGAAGGATTAGTGTTAACTCTTAAAATGTTTGGTGGTGTCCACCAGCGAAGTCATCTGTTCTGGACTTTGCTTTGTTGGGAGGTTTTTGGTTTCTGATTCGAGCTGTCATTACAGGTCTGTTCAGATTTTCATTTCTTGAGTCAGGTTTGGTCATTCGTACGTATCTAGGAATTGGTCCATCTCGTCTGTGTTCTCCAGTTTGCTGATACAGGGACCACACCGTTGTATAGCCTGGTTTTTTTTTTCCTCAGAAACACACATCGATTGATCACGTGTTAAAGGTGGTGATCAGGTGTGTTCGGTGGCACTGGCCTGTTGCCAGAGCCCTGCCACCTACGTTGTCTTATTTAATCCTCTTTGTGGTCCCGTGAGGAAGGCACGGCAGGGACTATCACAGGTGAAGAAATCCAGGTTTTAAGGAGTCCCTCAGCTGGTGGTGAACTCGCATTTATCCACACGTTCGGGCCAGTGCTCCCGTGCCGTGCTGCGCACTGAGAAACTAAGAAATCGATGTTGGTGTAACACTGTCAGCTAAACTGCAGACGTTTGGATTTTCCGGGTTTTTCCACCGATGTCCGTTTTCTGTTCCGGGAGACTCTATCACATGCAGTCGCACTGTCTCCTCCGTCTCCCGCAAGGCGTCACGGTTTCTTGGTCTTTCCTTGTCTTTCGTGACCTTGACACTTTTCAGTTTTTAACCCCAGAGGAAACGAGGCAAAAATAACGACTTTCTTACCACAATATGCTGAGCATAGAAAACCCGCCTTCCTCTTTCTGGTTTTCACGAGAGTGTCGTTGCTGTCAGCGGGGAAGTGGGGGCTGGCGAGGGGCGGAGAAGGCCCTGCTCAGGTCCGTCGGAGCTGCTGCCGTTCCGGGCTCCCGTCCCCGCGGAGGGGCCGTCCCTACAAAGGTAACAGAATCGTAGAGCTGCAGCTTCTGCGTGAAAGGTTCGGTGTCTGGAAGACGGAAAGCAGCGAATAGACTGAGCTGATCTGATGATAACATTTCCTGCATTTTCTTCCCAAAGTGGTGTTTTGTTTCATTATTTTATTTTAATAGCAGATACAGCACAGGTTGAATACAAGACAGTCAGATGATAGGTAAGCAGGAAAAAGCTCCTGTAAACACCTATAACCCAGTACCTGGATTCTTTTTCTTTTTTTTTTTTTTTTTTTTTGAGATAGAGTCTGGCTCTGTTGCCCGGGCTAGAGTGCCGTGGCATCAGCCTCGCTCACAGCAACCTCAGACTCCTGGGCTCAAGCGATCCTCCTGCCTCAGCCTCCCGAGTAGCTGGGACTACAGGCATGCGCCACCATGCCCGGCTAATTTTTTCTATGTATTTTTAGCTGTCCAATTAATTTCTTTCTATTTTTAGTAGAGACGGGGTCTCGCTCTTGCTCAGGCTGGTCTTGAACTTCTGAGCTCAAACAATCCGCCCGCCTCAGCCTCCCAGAGTGCTAGGATTATGGGCGTGAGCCACCGCGCCCGGCCTCTTTTTCAAATATTCGTGTCTGTTTCTATTTATGTTAATATTCACACAATTTTTTCCTACAAAAATGTAATCACACACATCGTACATTTTTTTAAACAAAAATTTCTCTTTTCTTTTAATACGTGGAGAGCGTTTTCCCACTTTTCTACAGAGATGAATCTCTGCAGCAACATTTTTAACTGTGTCAAGAGTTCCGGCCCGGGCGTGGTGGCTCAGGCCTGTAATCCCAGCACTGTGGGAGGCCAAGGAGGGAGGATCGCTCGAGGTCAGGAGTTCGAGACCAGCCTGAGCAAGAGCGAGAGTCAGTCTCTACTAAAAAAATAGAAAGAAATTAGCCAAACAACTAAAAAAAATACGTATATAAATTAGCTGGGCGTGGCGGCGCCTGCCTATAGTCCCAGCCACTCGGGAGGCTGAGGCAGGAGGATCGCTTGAGCCCAGGAGTTGGAGGTTGCTGTGAGTGAGGCTGATGTCACAGCTCTCTAGCCCGGGTGACAGAGCCAGACTCTGTCTCAAAAAGAAAAGAGTTCCAGTCCCCTGTTGTTAAACAGTTTGTTTGTTCCCAACTCTCCCCTGTCACAAACAAGCAGTGCAATAAACAACATCAAACTAGTGAAGTCCCTAATTATTTTCTTAGCGTAAATACATTATTCCTTTTTACCACAGATATTCCTGCTGATCCTCCGGGCCCTGCAGCTCCTGACCCGACTGGTGTTGTCTCTGCAGCCGATTCCTCTGAAGGCGCCAGCGGCAAAGGTGAGGTCCGCGGGGATCCCAGGGAACGGGCGGTGGACCAGAGAGGGGCGAGAAACCATCACACTTCACAGAATTGCTCATTTTATTTCTAAGAGCTGGGACTCGTGAAGCGTGGCTTCTCTTGAGCCTGCCTCGCACACGCCCCGCGTCAGGGCGGAGTTGGGCGCGGGAGCTAGTCCTGAGCTTAAAAAAGCCAAATTCTGCCTTTGCTGAAGGGAAAGAAACCCTCCAAGGAGAGACCCACAGAGGATCCCGGAGGCTCCTCAGAGACGTCCAGCCAAGTTCCCGGAAACCACAGCCAACCGAGGCCCGGCAAAGGAGCCAGACGAGAGGGAGCCTTCTCCAAGGCCGCCGGCAACCCCGGTGCCAAGGGCAAGAGGAGCGAGGCGGGCAGCAGGAGACGCGGCGAGCCCTCGTCCAGCGAGGAGGAAGGGGGCGCACGGGGCGAGCGGGAGGCGGCGACCCGGCCACGCGCTCGGGGCCGGAAGCGGCGGGCAGCCCGCAGGGTGTCCTACAAGGAGGAGAGCGGCAGCGAGGATGGCGGCGCCGGCAGCGGCTCCGAGTTCGAGCTCCCCGCCGGGGCGGCCCACGACCCCTCTGACAAGGATTCTGGACCCGGCCTTCCCAGGCAGAGGAGGGCGCCCGCCGCGCAGAGGGGCAAGGCTGCGGCCCGGCGTGGGCACCCGGGCTCTGCGGCAGCTCCCGCCGGCTCCGCGAGCAGTAAGGGGGGCCGGAGCACGCCCGGCGACGGCGAGGCGGCGGCCGGGGGGCGCCCGGCGGGCGTCGACCACTGGCTGGAGGTGTTCTGCGAGCGGGAGGCCAAGTGGGTGTGCGTGGACTGCGTGCACGGCGCCGTCGGCCAGCCCGCCACCTGCTACCGGTTCGCCTCCAAGCCCCTGAGCTACGTGGTGGGCTTCGAGGGCGACGGCTGGGTCCGCGACGTCACGCCGAGGTACGACCCCGCCTGGCTGACAGCCACCCGCAGGCTTCGCGTGGACGCTGCGTGGTGGGCCGAGACGCTGCGGCCGTACCGGAGCCCGTGCGTGGAGCGGGAGGCGCGGGAGGACTCGGAGGTAAGGCCGGGCCGTCGGTGAGCCCGTCTCTGCGCCCCGCGCCGTGCCGGGTGTCTGCGGCGCGTCCCCCCTTGAGTCCCGACGGCACCACAGAGCCGGGCGCCACGGCCTCAGCTTCACGGGCAGAGCCGAGAGGTGTCCCCACGTGGCGTGAGGCCCGTGCGGCGTCGGGGCCGCCGTGCTCCCTGTCACTGTCCGTTCACACTGAGAAACTCTCGGGGGGGCTCTCGGCGCCGCTTGCTTTGCGACGGCAGCCCGAGCGGGAACCGCGCACATGGCGTCGGCCCAACCCAGCTGCAGACGCGGCGGGAGCCGAAGGGGCGGGGTCCTCCCCGCTCGCAGCACGTGGCCGGTCTGACCCGTCGGGGCTTCGGAGAGATGCCGAGGGGGGCTTGGCGCGGTGACGGCGGGGAGGGGAGTCCCCGAGAAGTGCCCGGAGAGCGGGCGCTGGTCACGGGACCGGGAGAAAGGCCAGGGCGTGCGCTGCTCCCCCGCGTCCCCGTGCGGCAGAGTCGTGAGCCCAGGCCGTGGGGCGGGGACGTCCCCCCGCGCTGGCGCTGGCTGCCGGAGAAAGCCGCGTGCTCTTGCCCCGCGAGGATCTTCAGCGGGGCCGGGCGAAGCGTCTGAGGCTGAAACTGGGTTAGACGACTTCGCGAAGTTGCCCCAGCCACCGGGTTCCTTGGTCTCGTGGGTCTCGATCACAGCGGCCGGAGCTGCGGACGGGATGTCGCAGAGTCACCCGCGTCCGCGAAACCGCAGCTCCGCCCGCCGTCGTCAGAACCAGTCAAACCCCGAACCTCGTTCCCCTTCCGGAAACCACGCTCAGCGCGTCTGTCTGGCCTCGGCAGTTTCAGGCGAAGCAGCAGGACCAGCCCCTGCCCACCGCGGTCGGCTTGTACAAGAACCACCCGCTGTACGCGCTGAAGCGGCACCTCCTGAAGTACGAGGCCATCTACCCCGAGTCGGCCGCCGTCCTCGGGTACTGCCGCGGAGAAGCCGTCTACTCCAGGTGCGTGGGGCGGCCGGGGCTCCCTGCGCGTCTGCAGTCCGCAAGGCGGAAGCTCGTCTGGCCGTTCAGCGGCATCCTCGGGGCACGAGCTGGCGGCGTGTGCGTTCGCCGCGGGGGATTAAAGCAAGAGAATTTAACGACAGCATTGAGAGACCAGTGAGGGGGAGTTACCGGGAAAAGTAAAATAAAAAGTAGGACAAGTAGAATGTAAGGTAAGGCAGCAAAGAACACACAGATATAAGTTAAAAACATGCAAAAGGAAGGAATGAAGGATTTGACCAGAAAGTTAAAATGGGTGGGTATTTTAATGGCTACAGAGCTCTGTTTGGGATGATGAGAAAGTTCTGGAACGGATGGGCCGACGGCGCCGCATTCTAAGTGCACTTAACGCCCCTGAGCTGTGCGCTCCAAGACAGTCCAAATCGTGTTTTATGTTGCTGTGTTTTATGCCACAGGAAAAGGGAACCACTGAGAAAAGGAATGAAATAAGTAAACAGTAAAACACACGGAAAATCAAATCTGAAAGAACGTCAGTGTAGTTTGGGGGCAAGGGGAAAATAACAGTAGAAACGGGAGTCGGGGAACTAGCAGCAGAAAGCAAATGGAAGGAGCGATTTTCACAAGCACTGAAACAAAACAGCGAAACACAGGCGATGTTCTCGGTAACTGGGAGAACAGGAAGCCACAGGGAAGAAAAGAAGGAGGCCGGGGCGGGAGGATCGCTGGAGGCCGAGGGTTGGAGGCTGCTGTGAGCCACGACCGCACCACGCGCTCCAGCCTGGGGGGGGCGCAGCGAGACTCTGTCCCTAAAAGAAAAAAAGAAGCGCAGGGAAACCCGCGGGCGACTCCCGCCTCTCGGCTCACTGCCGGGAGTCGTTCTAGACCCTCTGGTCAGGGTCTCACCCTTTCCGGAGCTTTCTGCTCCGCGTCATGGGGCTGCGCCCAGTCGGGGCAGCAGGGAGCCCGGCCTTCCCTGGCGGAGGCCCCACGAGCGGGCGAGTGACCGTCTGGAGAGGGGACGTCTGCCGGCGTGGCCGACGGCGCCAGAGGGGCCCGTTCCTCCATTTATTCTTCGTGGTGGGAAAACGCACGTGGCGTTGCGCACGGTGACACGGCCGTGCGCCTGTCACCCCCGTCCACCTCCAGGACGACTCCTCGTCCCAAACCGAACTCTGTCCCCGTCGGACGCCAGCTCCCCGCCCCCTGCCCGCCCCCTGCCTGGAGCACTCTGGTTCCGCCTGCACGCAGAGCCCTGTGGTCTGTCGTTCTCTTGTGACCGGCGTGTGTCACTTGGCGTGACGTGCTGGGCTCCATCCGTGTCGTGGCGCGTGTCAGAACTCCCGTGTCAGCTGTGTGTGCAGATCACGGTTTGTCACGTCACCTGTCAGTGGACTCTCCTGGCTGCCGTGAGGGACGCTGCTGGGAACTCGGCGAACACGTGTCCCCGTGAGGCCGTTTCCGTGTGCGGGGGCGGGCCGTGTACCGGCCGTAGAATCGCTGGGTCGGATGGGAACCCCGCGTGCGGGGGTTTCAGGGGCCGCCGCGCCGTTGCGTTTTCCCCTTTTTCCACGTCCTCACCGCCGTTGGCCGCTCTCTGGGTTCCGGCGTAGCCGTCGCGACGGGCGTGAAGCAGTCGGCGTTTGTCCCGAGAGGGCCACGTGCGCCGCGTGGCCGCTTCCCTCGGGGAATCTCGAGACGGTGTCCATCTGTCGGCCCCCCGAGCACTGCCTTCGCCGCTCTGGAGGCCACAGCGGCGTTACCACCCCCCGGGCGATGGCAGACGTCTGTCCTCCCGTGAGGCGGAGGGCGCAGGTGAGGGCGCAGGTGCTTCTGGACTTAGGGTGGGGCTGAGTCCCGACAAACGCATCCGAAGTGGAAAACACCGTGAGCTGAGAACGCGTTTACCGCACCTAAGCTGCTGAAGGCCGTAGCCCGGCGCACCGCAAAGACGAGAGAGCGAGGACGGGCGTGCAGGAAGCTCCGGTGCGGTTTCTCCGGAGTGCGCTGCTTTGCGTCACGATCACGCCAGCTCAGGGAGGTGAAGCCGTTTGTCCAGGCCGCCCAGCGGGGCGGTGGCAGGGCAGGTCCGACCCCGTCCGTGGGGCCGCGCGGAACCTGTCTCTGGCCCGGCGTCTGTTCCGGAAGGAGCGAGGCCGGAGGGTCTCCGCCCGCGACCACAGGCCGCCAGGAGTCGCCGGCGGTTCTGCGCGGCGTGTCCTACTCCGTGATGGCTCGTTGGCTCATCGCGGCTGATTTCCCCGCAGTCGTCGGGTCCCTCCCTGCCCGGCGTTCGGGGGCGGGTCCGGCCGTCAGCAGGGCCCGCTCGGCGGCGCGGGAACGCGTGTGAATGTGCCCGTGTACGTGGCTTTCCCCTGGCCCCGAGGGCGCACAGGGGCCGTCGCTGGGCAGCGGCGAAGAGGAAGCCGGGACGGGCGGAGCCGGGTCAGGGCTCGAGAGCGGGCGTCTCTCCGGGCGGCGGGCCGTGTCCACGTCCAGGGCCATCTGCAGGGCCGCGGCCTGTCTCCCGGGGAGGGATGGGGCCGGGCGGGCGCGGACTGGGCCTCTGTCTCCGCAGGGACTGCGTGCACACCCTGCACTCCCGGGACACGTGGCTGAAGAAGGGCCGGGTCGTGCGGCTGGGCGAGGCGCCCTACAAGGTAACGAGCGGGGCGCAGGGCGCGGGCGAAGCTGGGGTGGGCCGGGCGGGGCGGTGGGGACGAGGGGCCGCCCGCGACGCGGACCGGAGACGCCTCCCTGCCCTGGCTGAGCGGCGTTTGCGGAGGAGGCGAGCGTTTAATGGCGTCTTGTTGCCGAGGCGTTCGTGGGAAACGGACCGGCCCAAACACACGAGGGACGCAGGCCGCAGACTCCGGTCGGGGGCTCGAGACCCCGCGGCCCGGAGCCGGGTTCCGGGTGGTTCCGAGCAGCCAGACCCTCCCCTGCAGGGGCGCGTTCTCCACTCAAGCCGCTCCTTCCCGCGTGCGAGTCTCCGCGGCCCCAGGAGCTGGCGGCCCAGCACCCATCCTGCAGATGGGAACGCCGGCGCCCAGGGGGGTGGCTGGTCGGGAGCCCACGGGTAGACCCAGGCCCCGCCGCGGGGACCGGGAGCCCAGCACGGCGCGGTGGGGCCTGCGCAGCGAGGCAGGCGGCCCAGGTCAAGCAGCGGGACAGTGGCTGCGCAGAGACCGTCTCGTCTCCCCGTCAGACCCCGGGGGAGCCCTCGGGGTTGCGCGGCTGCGGGGACGGCGGGAGCCCAGGGCCAGCGCAGTGGCAGCGTGCGGCGTTGGTCCCAGCTCAGGGACCGCGGTGGCCGGGAGGGCGTGTCCTAGCCGGCCTCCCAGTCACGTGACCCGTCTCTGCTGGCGCGGGGCCGTCCGGGAGAAATGGAGTGTGGGTCACTCATTGAAATCTTTCAGTAGCCACGTCAGAAAACACAAAAGTTAGCCAGGCGCGGTGGCGCGTGCCTGTAGGTCCCAGCTACTCGGGAGGCCGCGGCAGGAGGATTGCTTGAGGCCAGGAGTTCGAGACCAGCCTGAGCAAGAGCGAGACCCCGTCTCTACTAAAAATAGAAAGAAATTAGCTGGACGACTAAAAATACACAGAAAACATTAGCTGGGCCTGGTGGCGCATGTCTGTAGTCTCAGCTACTCCTGTCGTCCCAGCTACTCCTGTCGTCCCAGCTACTCCTATAGTCCCAGCTACTCCTATAGTCCCAGCTACTCGGGAGGCTGAGGCAGGAGGATCGCTTGAGCCCAGGAGTTGGAGGTTGCTGTGAGCTAGGCAGACACCACGGCTCTCTAGCCTGGGCAACAGAGCGAGACTGTGTCTTACACACACACACACAAAATCCACAAACACAAGTGGAATTCTAACATTTAAAAACATTCAGATACCATCTAAAATGTCACCACTTTGACGTGGAAGAGACATTTCAGTGTCAGCATTTTAATCACATCTCGTTCTGAGCCTCGTGCTTCCGTGTGTACCCGACACCCTGAACCTCAGTTCAGACTTGTGACACTGCGGGTGTTCGGCAGCCACGCGGGACTGGCGGCCGTTGCGTCCGCGTTGCTCTAGTCCTCGGGGACTGGCAGAGCCCAGAGCCCTCCCCCCAGTCCCTGGTGGAGACCGCGGCGGACAGGGACACGGGTCCTTGATCTTAGCGTGGTGATCACATGTTAAAGGGCTATTGAAGGCAGAACAAGGAACACGTGACAGGTGGCACGCGACCCTCACGGAAAAGCTGGCCGACCCCGCACTTTTGGCAGCGTGTGCCCAGGCCCAGGCCCAGCCCCGCAGGGGACTCCTCGGCCGGAGACGTCTGCTGGGGCGCGTCCCGGGGTCGTGAACGCGCGGAGCTGCCAGGGGGCGTGAGGTCACACGAGGTCGTGTAGGGGTCGAGACGCAGGCGCTGCGGA